AGCAAGAAGGAAACAGAGCGAGAGGAGAAGCATGAGCAAATACAATGACTCGAGGTTGGGCAGAAGACATTTTCGTGCAATGGTCTCCGTGCTAGAGAATCAGCTCTCTCTGGTGACATGCTCCTAGATAATCCTCAAGCACAGTCGGCAGATGAATAAGGTTCACAGAGAAACATTGCAGGCAGAACTTGCAAAGCATCCGTCCAATCTTCAACCGCGTGCTCTGAGTGATAGGAGCAGACGGACGGATGGATGGATGGGGGCACTGACAGAAAAACGGATGGATGGCCAGATGAACAGATGGACGAATGCATGGAGAGGTGTTCAGATGGACGACGTTTCGCCCCACTCATCATCATCAACTCCGAGGATATATGTTTAACAGTGTGCCTTTGCTACGAGAAACGTTATTTTGTATGTATCACTTTAAATCTGGTAATCATTTTTGCTTTCACAAGTGCAGTATTTGTCTTGTAGCGGCGAGTGAGGAGAGGAGAGACGTGAGACGACGTCTGAAGACGGCAGACGGGGCCGTGCCAAACTCACCGCTTTATTCGTAGGCTGAAAGCGGAGCGGCGGCTGCCAGCGTTCGATCGCCAGGCGCGTGAGCTTGTTCTCTTCTTGCGCAGCCCGAGCTGCGCGAGAGGTGCGGCGTGTTGGCTTTGAAATGATGATGATGGTGATGAATGGCGAAGATGATGACGCTACAGTCTAATACAACAAACGTGCATCTCAATTGTTCTGTATCGCCCCTCTGTTCTGCCCCGCCGCGGTGGTCTAGTGGCTAAGGTACGCGGCTGCTGCCCCGCAAGTCGCGGGATCGAATTCTGGCTGCGGCAGCTGCATTTTCGATGCCGGCGGAAATGTTGTAAACCCGTATGCTCAGGTTTGGGTGCACGTTAAAGAACCCTAGGGGGTAGAAATTTACGGAGTCCTCCACTACGGCGTCTCTCGTGATCATATGGTTGTTTTGTGACGTTAAACCCCACATATTAGTCAATCAATCGCCCCCCTGTTCTTTCTCACGCATCCCGGGCAAGCAATAAAATTAGTCAGTCAGTCAAGAACTTTATTGAAGGTCCTGAGGAGTTAAAGCCACTAGGGTGTCTACGAGAGAAACGCAATACACGTTCACCTAGTTATCAATGGAGAATCAAAGAGCACAAACTAGAAAGGCACAGGTTAATCACAAGGATAAAGCAATGACTGCGACTATACAACGAATTGCAATGGTATACGTGTAAATCCGGCAGCAAACTCTACTAACGCGACCAAGAACTGGTTTTGCATAAATTCCAGTGTCGGCAGTTGCATCACTGGTTGCCAGCGAAAAATCAGCACTCTCCGTGAGTGCATAATCGAGGAGGTTGATACAAAGAAAAGTTAATGAAAAAATGACAGCACATCCACGGAGTGAATGATCCTTCCGTCCATTCGTTCTTGCTTCCGTCCATCCATGCGTGCGTCTGTGTGGCTGCCCATGCGTCCATCCGCCCGTCCATGCGTGTGTCTGTTCGTGCATCCGCACGTTCATCTGTGCGTCCGTCCCTGCATTCGTTCATGCATCCGCTCCTGCGTCCGTCTATGCGTCCATCCGTCCGTGCAGCAATCCGTGCGTCTGTCCATGCATCTGTCTCTGTATCCGTTCGTCCACCTATTCAACACTCCAAGTACCACCATGTCGCATCTTTTCATTATATATTCCTCATATAGATGCACCGCCATCTAGCGGACATGCCAAAAACTGAACGAGAGGAGGCATACGAACACTTTCTTACGACTTGCGCTTCGTGTCTACTTCCCACCTTTAACCACCTCGAGTTCATGGTATATACATAAGTTCACTGTATTCATGCCACTGTGGCCCAACGCTCGCTAAACCTTTCTAAAACCTAGGTGGTTACGCCCAGCGAGTATAACGTAGCAACCCTTTCTTGTCTTCAGTGTGTTGTTGAACAATAAAAAATTCGCAGCGTGCGCGTTAACTAAAAACCGAATTTTCGTGCCTCTCATTCCCCCTTGGCAGCCATCGGCATGTACATTGAGCACTATCTTTTATTGTTCAACAGCGCACAGAAGAAATGTGTCACCAGCACGACCTTTGAGGTCAAAATGTTATACTTGTTACACACTACTACAACGGCTACGAGGGATGAACGGGTGCCGCTATAAGGAGCTTCGCCCGGTTTGCAAATGCTAAGGACGTACCTGATCGTTCTACGTCAGGGGCGTCTGTCAGTAGGAGTTATGGTTCCCGTCGCGTCCTGAACGCCTTCGAAGGCGCTTGTCTTCGACGTTTTTGTCCTTACGGGGACTAGTGCCGAGACCGTCGTTGATGCGACGGCCTCAATAGTCGGCCTCTCAGAGGTATACTGCGTGCAGCGTCAGAGAGCTCGAAACTTCCAAGTCACCGTGAAGAGCATGGCCTCCATGTCTCTAATCGTCAATGCTGGCTGCCTGGTGATTGGCGGCGAGCGTGTTCAAGTCGTTCCCGTTGACCCACAAGTAACCAACGTCGCCTGCCGGTTCCTGCCATCGTTCGTCTCAAACGAAGTTCTCGTCCAAGCGTTATCCCCATATGGCAAGGTGCTCACTGTCACCAGTGGTTTGATGAGCGAGCGATGCGGCGTACTCACTGGAACGTGGTATGTTCAAATGGCAATGAACGCCGCTAATCCTGTGCCGAACTACCTGCGCATCTCTGGTCACCGTGCTATGTTCGACTACCGTGTTTTCCAGCGTGTATGTCGAAGATGCGGCTCAGCGGACCATCTACGTGCCCAGTGCACCACACCGTCTTGTGGTCGCTGCGGTGTGCATGGTCACGTTAGTGAAGGATGTGACCGCCCGTGTCGACGCCGCGGGGACGGCCACCCAACTGTGGTTTGCCCTGTCCGCCGCTCTTACTCAGACGCGGCCGCTGGTGCCTTTCCACTACTGACACCGGCAACGTAACCAACTACTGACTCGGGGGACACAGAGGAGGTCACCGACGCTGTGCTGGCCTCACCCCTACAAGTTCCTTCAAACGAAGCGCACAACGAAAGCGCGATTGTAGATGCGACGCTTGACGTGTCGGCCTCCCCGTTGGTGCAGGAACCGTGCGCTTCGAAAGACGCAACACACTGCCCTGCAAATGGCGTGTGCGTCTCTTCTCTGACACCACTTGATGTTTAGTGCGCAAATAACCCCAGTTTTCAGGCTGCTGCTGTTGGAGTTGACCCTACGACCTCTGTTATTTTGGAAAACAGTGGCGAAAATACCACAGGCTCCTCTGTTGCGGCCGCTCCGACCATTTCGACATCGCGTTGTACACGTAAAAAATCGCCAACAAAAAGGGTGCCTACACCGGCCTGCCGAGACGTGGACAGTGCTGCCAGCATTAAGGATGTGGATCCAAGCTTGCCGGCGGCCAGTCCCTACCTCAACAGGACACGTCTTCGGAAGACGGCTTCAGCCTGGGACTGGATAGTAGCATCGGACTGTCTAGCCTTGCTGATTTTGACGTCGACATGGGAATTCCACGTGAAACAAAATGAGGGCACACTTCCAGCTCTTGCTCCAATGAACGCAGTGATAGCCGTGGTAAATCCGAACGGTCCAAAAAACCTTGACCCTTTTCTGGAGGGTCGAACAGTGCGTTGTAAATTGGTTGAGGAAGTGTCCTCTGGACACTTTCCAGGACACCGTCTAGAACTATGCGTCTAGGTTAGCATTTACTTTTTCATTATGGCTACTACACTGCATATTATTTCATTGAATGTTCATGGTTTTCGCAGTCCGGCAAAGCAGGCTGAAATGATTAGTGTCGCCCACGCTGCAAATTGTGATGTTTTGTGCCTTCAGGAAACAAATTTCTTCTCGCTCTCCGACGTGCTTGCTTTTAAACGAAAGTTTAACCTAGATTGTTATTTCTCTTTCGCTACATCTCGTTTTACGGGAGTAGGTATTATTATTTTTAATCGAGCTCTATTGCGGGATCATCATGCTTTTTACGATGGCGTGGGCAGGGTTTTGGCTTTAGACTGTAGCTACTTTTCTTTCAGATTACGGATACTGTGAGTGTGTGGGCCAGCGCAAGCTGGATAGTCTAATGGCTTCTTTAGAGACCTGGATGTGTTTTTTCTTGACGGTCGTAATTTCATTCTGATCGGCGACTTCAACTGCGTTCTAAATACGCGAACCGATGTACAAGGTCCTGACTGGGGCTGGTCTGCTTGGAATTTATGCGAGCTTCGACGCCTTGTCCACCACTTTTCATTACTGGACGCGCACAATGTAGTTCACGGAAATACCTTTGTTTGGACATGGCGACGCGGACGATCCTCCAGCAGGCTCGACCAGGCTTATATCCCACAAGCCTTAGAGGCGGTTGTCTCCGATTTATGCGTTCCGTCCTTCCCACCTTCTCCTGTGTACGTATCTGATCATCGGCCTATTGTCTTGAAGCTCGAAGTTCCATTTCCTTTTTCGGAAAAGCCATGGCGTCTTGATGTTCGCGTCCTCCAGTACGCGCGCTCAAGATCAGATTTGTCACGCGCAATACGTGTGTCAATCACGGCGTCTGGTCCTGAAGATTGGGATGCGCTTAAAACACAGTGGCGCCTGCGCTGCGCAGTGAAGGGGCGTTCGCTTCGTCGACGCGTTTCTGAAGAGCTTGCTGATACTGCGATGAAGTTACGCATTGCCTTGCGCGCTGAGACGCCTTCTCTTCTGATGCGAGTGTGGCAGCGTGAATTGCGTGAACGCTTTCAGCGCTTGACTGCTGCTTCGTCCCTGGCGGCAGCAGCATGGCGCTCTAGACATAACCCATCTGCACATCCCGAGGTGCTGCGCTACGCGAGACATTCCTTTTTTGGGCAATCACAGCTATCTGTCTCTATTACAGCACAAATACCACCTGCACAGCGGCTTCCTACGCACGATAGATCTGTTTTCTTGGCGCATTTTGAAGCAATGTCGTGTTCGGCGATGCGGACTAACTGTGATGAAACACCGCCAATGCTTCGAAGTTTGCCCCGTATTCCTCAAGAAGCGGCGGAGTGAAAGCGATCGATGTTCAGATGTGTCAGAGACACACGGATCCTATTTGGATCCAAGATATTAAACTTATTTTTGCAATGCGGCGGAGTGCTTGAAGCTTGCTTCACCTCCGCCACGGGTTGGCCCGGTATTGCACTGCGGATTGTCTACACATTCCTCCGTCGGCTGAAGAGGTAAAAGCGGCACTGAAATCTATGAAACGTGGAACGGCCCCTGGGCCAGACGGTTTTCCTGTTGAGTTTTACTTGGCATTTTAGGATGAGATTGGTGCTACCTTTACTGCGGTTCTCCGGCGATGCTACGAGGACGGTGTCTTTCCATCAAGTTTTCGAGATGAACGCATTGTGCTTATTTCAAAGGCTGATGCTTCTTCTGTTAATCCTGAAGATTGCAGACCTATCACGCTTCTCAACGTTGACTATAAAATATTCGCGGCGGTAGCCGTTCAACGTTGGAGGGGTCTGTTGAACACCCTGGTAGGTCATCACCAGACTTCATCAGTGCTCGGACGAGAAATACACAGCTTGTCATTTACCACACGGGATATCATAGCCTACACTATGTCGCGATAGGCGCGTGGTATCCTTGTGTCTTTGGACCAGGAAAAAGCGTTCGACCGACTAGAGCACGCGTATATTCTTAATGTGCTCACAGCCTTCGGCTTTTCTCATTCGTTTGTGGAAATGAATAGAAACACATACACTGGCCTGAAAAGCACACTAGTTTTGGATGGCTGAGAAAGTGCCGCCTTTTCCATAACACGTGGGGTCCATCAGGGATGTCCATTGCCTCCTGTGCTATTTGTCCTCAGCCTTGAGCTATACTAGCGGGCTCTTGACGTGGATTCACGTGTCCGGGGTCTTGCGCTTCCTGGTAGCGGTGTCGTGAAAGTCACAGCTTTCGCTGATGATATAACCTTGTACCTTTCAGATGAAGATAGCCTTTCACGCAGCCTGCGTGTATTTTTCCAGTATGGCGACATTTCAGGTGCAGCGTTGAACATCTCCAAATCCCGGTATTACTTCATTGGCTCTCCAAGCTCCAGGCTTAGCGCGGCTTTTCCTATTCAGCCGGCCGCGTCCTTTCGCATTTTAGTTCTTTTATGCAACCACTACACCATTTGCGAATCCATTTGGTTAAACGCTCTCGAAGAAGTAAGACTGAATATTCAGAATGCACAGGATTTTGACTTGCCGCTTCTTGTGCGGGGGCACCTTGAGCAGACTGTATTTTGCGGTCGCATTTGGTACCTTTCTCACGTCGTGCAACCATCTTTACGTATCGTGCGATCACTGCAGCCTGCTTTGTGTTCCTTTTTTTCGTCATGCGGCACTGAGTTGTTCTCTCGTGCGGCACTGGGACAGCAGCGTTCTCAGGGAGGCTTCGCTTTCCCTTTAGTGTCCACACGCTGTCGGCTGCTGGCACTGCGCTTCCTTTTGCGCCTAGTGCAGGGGGAGGAATCTCCCGCACGAATGCTTGCATATTTTTTAGGGGCGAAGCTCTTTATAACGGCATCCGTTCGTCCCCAGTAGTATCTAGCAAGTATAACATTTTGACCTCCAAGGTGGTGCCAGTGAGAGACTTCTTCTGTGCGTTGTTGAACGATGAAAAATAGTGCTCAATGTACATGTCAATGGCTGCTAATGGGGAATGAGAGACAGGAGCATTCGACTTTTAGTTAACGCGCAGGCTGCGATCACTATTTGCAGCCATTGGCATGTACATTGAGCACTATCTGACAAGAAAGGGTTGCTACGTTATACTCGCTGGGTGTAACCTCCTTAGCTTTAGAAAGGTTTAGCGAGCGTTGAGCCGCAGTGCCATGAATACAATGAACTTGTATATTCCATGAATGAACTCTAAGTGGTTAAAAGTGGGAAGTAGATACGAAGCGCAAGCCGTAAGAAAGTAAAAGCCGAATTCTCCACCTCTCATTTCCCATTAGCAGCCATTGGCATGTGCATTGAGCACTATCTGACTGAAAAACTTTGCTACGTCCTACTCGCTGGGCGTAATCTCCTTGGTTTTCGAAAGGTTTAGCGAGCGTTCGGCCGCAGTGCCATGAATACAGTGAACTAGTATATATCATGAACTCGAGGTGGTTAAAGGTGGGAAGTGGACCCGAAGCGCAAGCCGTAAGAAAGTGTGCGTGTGCCACTTCTCGTTTAGTCTTCGGAATGTCCGCTGGATGGCGGTGCTTCTATTTAGGGAATATATGATGAAAAGATGCGAGATGGTGGTACTTGGAGAGTTGAATAGATGGACGAACGGACACATAGACAGATGCATGGATGGACGCTTGAACCGTCGCAAGGGCGGCTGCATGGACGAACGCAGGGATGGACACACGAACAGACGCACGCACGGACGGGCTGATGGACGCATGGACGGTCACACTGATGGATGCATAGACGGACGGAAGCAAAAACGAATGGACGGACGAATTCTTCGCCCCACTCTCCATCATTCACTCCGTGGATATGCTGTCATTTTTTTCTCGGTACTCACCTTCGGCATTTGATGCCTAATGTGCAACTTAACAGGAGGCCGCAGTCAATAACACTTCATGCGTTTTATGCAACAACAGTTGCATTTTTTCGCCATGTCAAGTTGAGCTGTTCTGGCATAGATGTTTTGAACAACCATATAGTTGAGACAACTGCTGCTTTGTTGCTTCCGTTGGTCCCGCCATCCCGCCGTGCTCGCTCTAGACGGGTGTCTTGGAGCACGTTAACGGCTTCTTTTCTGCCTCGACACCTCCGGGACTTCATGTGGCGCCTGGCTTGGGGTGTGCTTCCCACTCTCGACCGCCTCGAAAGGTGGAGTCAGCAACAATCAGCAACATGTCTGAACTGCTCCCTTCAGAAAACAAATCAGCATTTTCTGAGGCATTGTGCCATTGCTTGCGTTTTTTGGAGAGCCGCACATGCCAGATTTAGCTGCCTCAGAGTAAATCGCTTCAATTCTTCTGGACGTTGTTCGCGAGGCCACTTTGCTTGTATTCTCATTGTTGCCGGCTCTTTCTGCCTCTGGCACAACCACTACACGGCGGTTGCAGCGGGCCCCCGGTGCCGCGCGCTCTACTCGGTCCTAGAACGATTGTACTCGGAGCTGCTGTCTGTTTTGTCAGAGGAGCTCTTCTTCCTCGGTGAAGAGGAATTTCTTCGGCACTGGTCTTGCCCTTTTGTGTCGGTCTGTGACGGACGAGTGAAACTTGTGTTTCGGCCGGCCTGGTATTGGTAGGCTGATGTGTTGATGTACCGCCAGAAATGGCATGCCAACATGTAAATATGCAAAATGTACATATTCATGTTTTATTTGTGTCTCTTGTTTACCTTGAAGTATTTTTGTGGTTGTGTTTGTGTGAATCATCGAATGTACATGTTCTTTCATTGTCATCTCATATCCTTGTTCATGTAAATTACGTCTGTTTTGTCATCATCGTTAGAGTATGTCTAACAGGAAATGTTCCGTTGAGTGTTATTGACGTTTGTGGCAATACATTTTTTCTAAACAAAAGCTGTATGTTTGACTGGAACAACGTATTGGAACCCACGACCCTCAGTCCTTCGTCTGGTGCGTTCATCCGCTCGGCCCCCACAAACTTGCGCTCCAGCGCAGTAACGGTGGCCTAATTATGTTAGAGAGTTTTAGTACTGCGTACGCTGCGTACGTGGCGGCGTTGCGTACGTAAGGACGCCACGTTCTGCGTAGTGCGCATGCGCAGACCGCAACGCGCACGTATCGCGTTACGTATGCAGCTGCTACGTACGCACGCATGAGATGCGTGCGTGCGTACGTATGAGCTGATCGCGCCGCTCTCAAACAAGTCCGCGACAGCGCGAGACTTCGATTTGCAAAATGGCGGCATCGAAGGCAAGCACCAACCGGCTCTGTGGCTTAAAATATGGCCATAATCTGGCTATAACACTTGGATTGGCTCACATTGGCTGACAACATCACGTGCTTCTATTTTCACCTACGAGATGGCGCAACACGCTTTTCGCTCGTTACGTACGCGGGTACTACGGCGTACTAAAAGTCGATTAGTGGCAAACGACGCCACGTAACGCAAGGCGCTTGCGTGATGCGTACGTAGCACCATCCCGCAGTACTAAAACTCTCTATTGTTGCGAATAAGACGCGACGCCGTATCGACAAGCCTGTGGATGAGATGTACTTAAAACCAGCAGTAATGGCGTTACCGGTTCACCTGTGAAGGAACAGAGACCACCCCTCGTGCTCTTCGTCAGGCACACACGCGCATCGTCCCACAAAATGTCAACGTGCATGTAGCAATATACACCATTTACCTTTGGTGGTGGGCACATCTCATATCTTCTTGAGCGTCGCAAAGGCTTCACTGTCACCGGTATATGACGCAAAGTGGTCCTGGGCGCGCATTTAAACTGCACCACCTCACTGTGTTTCGTCGAGCCTCGTGCGCGGATATAAAAGCAGAGGGCGTTCGCACTTTGGTTTTGCTTGAGGCACTGTTTAGCTCTTCGTAGAGAAGTTGAGCAAGGCGAGGAGTCGGTAAAGAGATACCATAGGGTTTCCAAAAATTAACCAGAGGTGACTCTGGCGCTGCGATTGTTCAGCGACCGCGAGAATGATGGTGTTGATGTACTAGAGACGAGACAGCGGCGATGAAGCCGTGCCATGTTCGCAGCCTTTATTTGGGCGAGGACATAGGGAAGCAGTATCACCTGCCGCGTCCAGCCAGGTTCATAAGCTAAGCCCTTCTGCCGCGCGTGGCTCGCTCCTCACGAGCCACGCGGCCCTCTTTATTTTAAGCGTGGCCTGCTGACAAAGGCTGGCGTGACTGCACGACACCAAATTAGCTCCCCCTCCCCCCCCCCAGCGCTTTGCGCGATCAGAAACATATGTACAAAAATGGAGATGGAGAGGTATTATCTACATGAAAGACAATTCGTAAGATGTCCGTTTTGTAAGTCCGGGTTGTCAACGCGAAAGCGCGCAGGGTCGTGATGATTTTTCTGGTGGTCGGCACTAGGAGAAACGTATTGGCTGAGGAAGAAGGCACCGAGGCGTTGTCGCGAAGGCTTGGTGGCTGCGTTCGTGAGTGCTCCAGGTAGCACGAGTAGACGCGGCTGTGAAGTGACAGCTTGGCCGCTAACGTTGACAGTGGGTC